CGGTCACTTGAAGGAGCACAAAAATTGGCATAATTCTTTTACCTTGCTTCAATGTCTAGGCGGAAAACCAGTTTAGGTCACGAAGTGTGCTGCTGTGTTATTCTTAAAGCTGGCTTCGCATAGACCACAGAGTATATGAATTACGCAGTGACCAGACACCCAACGGTGCCGCTCGACGAGAGAAGACTTCCTATCAGTTATTCATAACTCAGTCAAGGGTGGTATTTCATCTTGTATTGGATTATGCCAAGTTTCAGATCAATTGAATCCGTATCAGACAGTCGATGGCGATTTAAGTCGCTTTCTAAAATGACCAGGCCGTCTTTCATGGCAGACAGTAGAAGCAGCGAAAGGGTGTCTGAATTTTTCCGATGGCTCAACGCCACTATTGGGGTGATGTAGGCATTGCTAATCATAAATTTTATGTAACAGCAGACAACAAATAGAGAGACAGTCAGTGCCGCATGAACTGAAAGTGGACTTCCGTGTCGGCTTGGCGCACCATTTATAAACGACGGTGATAACACCTGCATTACCCTCCTTATAAGCTTCTTAGCGGAAGTCTGGTCGAATCTGAAAGGTGCGAAGTCAGGGTGAAAAACGATGAAATGTCGATATCGTTGCATAGCCAACACTAATGCAGTAATACGAATGAAGCAGCGAACGTTATCTCATTGAAAGCAAAGACTCAATTTTGCTTAATTTTCTCCCAAGAAGACGAACATTTGAAGAAGCAGTGTATAGGGGGCTACCAAAATACGTATTCTGGGTAGAAAGTTGCCATCATGCATGACGACCGAGTCTAATTCTATATGCTGCATTACGCATAAGACCAAGGGCGGCAATGTTCTTAAAATCTGTAGCCGAAATCGTTGTTGTCGCTTTGGAACGGATGGCAGTGAAGAAATCTCTAGAATATGTGAACCCACGTATCGAGGGCTGATCACATCTAGAATACTGTAAGCACCATTTTGTGATATGGTGAGTGAAAGAAATATTTCATATGAAATATGGCAACGAATATTGCGAGATTAGCTGCCAGGGTAGCGCGTCCAAAATCCAAAGTACAGAGCAGGATAAACGAAAGTCGACGGAGCAGAGGTGACCAACCGCTTGTTGACAATCGAATATCTCTGCTTGAAGAAGTTAATACTTATTCTAGGCGTTTCTGCAATCAGGATGGATCCTAGGCTTCTGTTTCTTATTTAATTCTGGTTCATTTTTGCAGTAGAAAATAGCTCTTCGCCTTTTATTCGAAACTGTTAACAAGTATTGGTTAGGGGATAAGTAACTTCGGACGGAGAACGTTGTTTGAATTGTTTTATACGATATACAGAAAAATTGAAGTTGTTCTCTACTGGTGATTATAATGTTCATATCCTAAAAATGCGCTGTTTTATCTGGTTCACTTTCGCAGTTACAGTCGATTGGTCTTGGTGAATCGCGATGGCACTGATGTAATTCAAATCTTTCTGGCGCTGTTTTTCATTGTAGATCGATAAATATTATCGGTGTAAGGTCATTACTGTAACGGCCTATAAAAATTTTTTCCCAGGTGGTCATTTCGTGCAATGATGTTTCGAGATAGTGATTTTATTTCCGCCCACATTTGAATTATAATTTTACTGGAATTCCATGTACTTATCTATAATCATAAATAAAGCTGTCAGATATTAAGAAGTCTGGTGTGATGACGATCCGCAGATCTTTCGGTCCGTAGTTTCGATACTGTTTGAAGTTGCCGATAGAACGTCAAGGGGCAGTTGTAAGATTTATGCTTATGTTACCGCGTTACAACCTTGAACATTGGCATTCTGCCCATGTCTGTGACCAGGACGTTTTGTAGATGGTTTAACAGCGACGTTTTGCCGAAATCTGTTATTGCCCTAACGCCGAGTTCAAGATGTTCATTTCTTTAGCAGTCCGGTTGGCCACTCAGTTGCACGGAAGTGATCACCTTGACTGATTTCCTACCTTATGTAATTTTACTAAGCCGTATGAATGTGGGTTCGATAGCGATGCCGAAATACGAACTAGGTTGTAAAAGTACTGCCCGCCGATTATTCTGGTGTATCAGACAGTGGCATTTACTGTTCCATTAGTGCTTTTTCCCTTTATATGTGAATACTGATGTACGTATTAAAAACAAGCGTGGTTACAGTAATATTAGCCTTTGCTAGAAACGCTTATGTCGAACCTGTCGTTCCGTTGCTGACGCTGTGAGTTTTAGGTTTCGTGGTATACCAAGAGAATAGGATTGCTTGCGATCTATGAAATGTCTGAAATATTTTTACTGCAAGACAGCTCCGTCAA